TTTTCTTTTGAATTGTCTCTGGAAAATGATGAAGGGGTAGTTTTTCCTAATTTACAGTATGTACAATATGGAAAATAGACAAACACAAGAAAGTGTAACTGTTAAATGTAATTATAATACTTTGGGTTTTTCCCAAAATGTGAAGTGAGGAATCCAAATAAAAATATTATACCATAAAACATACAATCAAATAAACTCTGTTAAATAAATGCCATATATACTTTGCCTCAATAATCTTCTTAAGATTACATAGTAATACTTGGAAGCTTTGAAAGGATTCATTTTATAGTGAAAATTATTTAATTTTCTTGGTGATTACAAGATTAACTATTTTGTGCTGCACTATCAGAGTGACTAGAAAACACAATGATATACTTTAGATAGAAGTTCATTGTTCCACTAAGTTAAGGAGATTGATCCATTTTGATATTAGTTTAGTGAATGGTGAGAGACTTGGCTCTAGTTTCAGTCTTTGGCATGTGGAAAGCCAGCTTTTCCAGCACCACTTATTAGAGAGGCTATCTTTCTTCCAGTGAATGTGTTTGGCCCCTTTGTTGACGATAAGGTGACTCAGTTTGTTTGGAGTTCTTTCTGCATCTTGTAATCTGTTCCATTGATCCTTCGGTCTGCTTTTTGCCAGAACCATGCTGGGTTTTTTTTGTTGTTGTTGTTTTGATTTGTTTTTTTTTTTCTTTTCAATCACAGTAGCTTTGTAGTATAATTTTGAGTCAGGGACTGGAATGAATTGATTGCCTAACTGAGAAACTCATGATTATCGTTCCCTAGTGAGTTGCATCCTAAGTCACATCTCGATTCAGAAAGGCTGTCCAAACTGTATCTATCTTGATTAATTTCAGGGAAGCAAAAATGGGACTATACAACAAACCACAAGCTGTCTATTTACTTCCTTTGGTGGTACTTTCTCTAGAACCTTCACATCAATTTCTGTTTGCATTCTTTAGCTAAAATGCATGATTTTCAGATGGTCTTGCTGTGGCTGTGGCTGGCAGTAAGGGAGTTGAGGAAAAATAATATTTTAGGAGCTCACACTGTCACCATCAATATAAATAGTGTTCTGCTATCATAAGGAAGAATGCAAGGAGTAGAAGTTAGTTGGGTAGTAGAAGTCTCTCTCCAACTCATTATAAATGTGATACATGGTTGTAGAAAAGCATTAAACAAATAATGGGAGCATATATAAAATTAAAAGAGATAGCTTCCTGTGCCAGAGAGAAAGCTATATGTTCACCAATCTCTGTTTCATTTTCTTCCTGGGGTGCGGGGTCACAAGGAGAAGACATTCCCCAGCTTCAATGATGGGTAGGGCTCCGTACTTGGGTTCTGTCTAGCAGACTACAATCAGCAGTGATGTTTGCCAGACATGGCTCTAAAAACCATCAACAGGACTTTCCAGCTTCCCTCTTTAGAGTGCTAGACACATGCAAGCAATGTGCTGAGGGACTTCAAGGCCCAGAAAGATGGCCAGAGTCATAGAATACAAAAAGATTGGGCCCCTTAATGACTTCTTGAAACAGAGTGCCCCTCCTTTTCTGGCCTCCTTTTCTGATCTGCATTAAAATTTGATATTAGCAAAGTAAACTTTATGGGCATTAAACCTCTAAGATTTAAGAGTTGTTCATAGCACAAACGTTACATACTCTAATTATTAGAACCATCATCATTTAATACGCCAGCCTGGAAATTATCTTCATTAATATATTGGTACTTATAATTCTGATATTAATACTGATAGAAATATGAATTTCAAAACTAATTATACATATATTTAACATCCCACGTTATATGATACAGATGCCAATTAAACATTTATTTCCTCCAATAATCAATATTCATATACAAAATTGATTTTCTAACTTAAATCCAGAAATCTAAATTTAAATTCAACACAGGACAATTTTAAAGAGAATGCATAAAATATCTTTCAGACATAAAAAGACATTTAAATTTTAAAAATTAGTTCTGCCCACATTGGTCCAACAAAATAAAAACAACAAAATAAAAAATAGAGAAGGCCTTAGGGCCCGGGATTTAGCTCTGTGGCTCTGCTGCCGGCCTCTAAAGCACAAGGTCCTAAGTTTGATCCCTGATACAAAAAAACAAAACAAAACAAAACAAAACAAATCCAAAAAACAAAAAAAGGCTTGGTCGATTATTAGTGATGATATATGAAGTTGTTGCTTTCTTTACAAAGCAGTGATTTTCAGCCTCTAGTCAGAAATAAACTTGAATGTGAAGAAATCTCTTAAATTTTCCTGAAGGATCTAAACAACTGAATAAAAGAGACACTATGTTCTGGAAATTAGAAAAAAATAATTGTACTGAAATCAGATCTACCTAAATAATTTGCAGTCCCAATCAATTTCCTTATACCAGTGTATTTTAAAGGAGCTCGAGAAGCTGGATTTTAAATTCACCTGTAGATGTACCAGGCCAGAGAAGGCAAGAAAAAACATGTTAGGAATATTTTTAACTCGGGTTTTTAAATGATAAAGTGATTTTCTACTTTTTTCTTCAAGAAATCACTCCCCCCAGGGGTTTGAATGGAAATTAAACGGACACTTGTTGCCATTTCATTTAAAGTTACTTATAAAGGAACATCTTCCCACATCAACACTTAAGCGATCTCACATCATAATATCCCCTATTGTAATCCAGGGAGGGGCCTTCTGCTCTCCATCACAGCCAGGGGCGGAGCCTTCTCCGCAGTTTGGGAGTCAGCTGCGCCTGGCCAGTCTTGGGGGAGGAGCTGCATTTTACCAGGCTGCAGCTGACAAGAAGCTTCAAGGTAATGGCTGTCTTAAATTTAGTTATTTTCTAGTGACTTGAGAGGGTCCTAGGATAAAGATGAGAAAAATAGGGACGGCAGTGTCGGAGTGGCAGAAAAGGTGTGTGATTTTGAGAGAATTGCTGGCATTTTGAAGGAGTTAATCCTCGGGAATTTTCACATTTCCCAATGCTTTATAAATTCACCGTGGGAGAAGGGGTGATCAGATTACAGCCTCTAAACTAAGGCTTCAGCGCAGTATGGCTGTTCATACTAAAGTATTGATTTGATATTCCATGTTTATAATGCTATTCCATTCTTATGTTGCTGTTACTATTTGAAGTTTTAAATATGTATTAATTTATACAGAAGAATAACTGATAAAAGTATTTGGCAGCATGAAGGGAAATACTTTGATAAATTAATTGATACATAGACTGTGCTTCAGATGTACATGATCACGGAAATATGTAATTGAGTGAAGACATCTGTGCATAATATATGCACACACATATATATATATATATATATGTGTGTGTGTGTGTGTGTGTGTGATGAGAAAAAGTCTGGAAGGAAATAACCCCCATGTTACTGTTCAGCATTTCTGAGTAGTCAAGTTACTATTTTAATATTATTTTTAAATCTTATTTCATTATAATTACAGATTTCCTCATGATTATTTTCATAATCATGACAGAAAATAGATATAACAGCATATCCATTTTGATTCAGTCACATAAACATTCATAGCAGGCACACAGACATGCTCCCATGTGGAAATTTTCTGGACTTGATGAAACCAGTATCCTGTTGCTGTATTGACTAAAAAGCCCTGCGTGTAAAAAGTCCTCATTGCAATTCATTATTTTAGGCCAAAGAGGGAAAAAATGAACAGTCTGTATCATCTAAATTTAAGAGTGAGACAAAAAGATGACTCGAGTTATTGCTATTAAGAAATTTTAAAAATACTACATGGCAAAGTAGAGCCATAAAATGACGTACGTATGTCTGGTGAATACAAACATGAATATGTAAAGGTAGTGATTTGAAAATGTCTGCAAAATAATAAAAGATGAAGAAAGAAAAATTATAAGAAAGCACAAATGATCTTCCTTAAGAATAAGTACATATATTAGTTTCATGTATATATGTTATTTTAATCTATGTAACCAAATCTGAAAAAAACATATCTACCAAACTACTAACTTGATTGCTTAGTTAAAGAGATAGGGATGGCTTTTCTGCTGCTGATATTTTAAATTAGTAATTTTTTTATATCTTCAGGAAAATAGTGAGATGAAATGTTACAAATTTTGGAAAAAACCTTGTTTAAATAACTTACTAAAAATCATGTAGAAAATGTGTAGTATGATGTTCAAAGCATTCTCTTGGGTGAATTCTGAAGCTTGTTTGAAATGATATGCACTCATCTATATAGGTAAATAAATTAGAATATACTGTATAGAGAATATTCATAGTGGTTATTTGTATAAAGTTGTACTCTTTTTGCATCTTCTCAATTTTAATAAACTTATTAATGTTCACATAATCAGAAACATAGTGGCTGAAGACATTATGATCTTATTATTCCATATAACCATACCCATAAATTTATCAGGGAGAATTCTAGAAGTCTGAAAAGGCTCCTGGCAAGCTATCATGGTCCCCATCCTCCCATACAAAGGATCTGGTTTTGAGATCCTGCCTGTGCATCATGGGCAGGCTACAGTTCTGGTTTTGGTCACAAGATGGCGTGTGGCAGATACTTCAAATTTTCTCCAGTAGGGTAAAGCAATGAAACGATTTTGTATTAATAGACTATGAGACATTATGGAGAGTGTAACTGCGATTCCATTGAAAAAAGTGTGTGCTTGAAGGAGAAATAAGGCCACATGATAATGATATGAGGATTTAAACAGAAAAACTAATCTGACTCATAGATGACATAAGGCTGTTAATTCCGTCTTTCCTATATCCAGCTCATGTTTTTCATGAGAGAATATCTTCAGCATGAACAAAATAAAATTAATGTTCTCTACAGAGCATTTCATATTATGAGAAAATAAGGGAAAATAAGCATGACACCTGCATCGGGGATAAGATTTCACCTCATACCTGTGTTTCAGAATAACATGCCTACTAGAGTTCTGGTAGGAATTTTCCTTTACACTTTTTCCATGTTATTGATTTGATTCCCTTTCTTGTTTCTGTGCAGCCTAGGTTGACATCAGAGGTATATGAGACCTGGGCAGTCTGCCTGTCATGCCGTTTGAATCTTAGGAAGTCAGGGCAGCTACACATATATCCAGCAAGGTGAAAGCACGGTTGGAGTGACAGTCAATTCAGCTGGATCACAGGGCTGGCCCCATTGCGATCCAGGTGACAAAAGGTAAGATTTCTCAATTCATGGAATATTTCACACTAAAGCAGGTTGAAATCTTGAAGGATTATTTATTTTGCTTCCTATTTTGCAGTGATAACATTTTAAATTAACCACATTTCATGTTAAAATCACATTTGGTTGAAAATTTCAGGTGCAATTCAGTGTGCTTCTTATTCTGCAGCTAAAACATTTGTAACTAGTGTTCACAACTTCTTGTTTTGAGAAAGCATCTTATGTAGTAAAACCACTATGCAAAATTCATGCAAGAGACTATTCAGCTGTCTGAGGTTCTAGCCAACGGCCTGACTCTCAAGTCTTTGAAAACTACTCTATCTAATAAGTGGGCATAACAGTCATTCTCGGTCTCTGCTTTCTAAGATTATGCTGTTTTATACAATATAGTCATTGTATTGTTCTTTGGGTCCAGCTGGTACAGACCCTACCGTCATTGTCTGCCTGCTTGGTAAAACAGCAAAACACTTGAGCTTAAGAATTACAAAGCTGGGCCAGGGGAATTGGCACAGTGGTTCCACTGCCTGCCTCACAAGCACAAGGACCCAAGTTCAATCCCCGGTACCAAAAAACAAAACAAAACAAAAAAGAATTACAAAGCTTTGGCTCAGCAAGCTCAGTGCATTTCAGTGAGCTCTTCTTGAATATGTTGTATTAAAGTAATTTGAAAATTGATTGGAAATAAAAACATTGTGAGCTGAATGTACACCTTTCAAGAAAGACTTCTAGGGTGTGGGCTATAAATCTATGCTGCAAAGGTTGGAGACCTACAGCCATAGGTATTATGCTAGGAGCTCAAAAGTATCCTTGTATTCAGTATCATAAAGTGATTCCCTGGTACACCAAATAAGCTCTCCACCTCTGCTGACAAGTATACAATTCACTCCTTAATAAATACGTTTATGTTCAATCTGAGGCATTATAAAATTTTCCCTGGACAGGGAGTTTAGCTCATTGACGCTGGGCCTGCTTCACATGCACAAGGTCCTGAGTTCAATCCCTGGTAACAAATAAATAAATAAAGTTTTTCCAGTAATTATCTTCTTTGTATTTGCTGCATTGTTCTCTTTCTATCCCTCATTGAGCATTTTTCTTTCTGGTTTATCTCTTCCCTGTTCATTATTGCACACCTCTACTTGGGCAAAATAATTTTACTCATACTTTTCCTTTTTTCCATTTCAGCACTTTCCAGTATTGTGCAATTCAACAACGTGTTCAAGCATCCTCAGTAATTCGTGGTGGAGAACAGGCCACACAAGCCAAAGCTCTTTGTAGTTCTAAAATAAAGAGGTATTGGTAAGACTCTTGTTTTTGGTAGGACTTGTTATAGTGTAGTGACAAGGACAGACAGAGAGCCACTTCAATTTCTGATAGTTATTTCTTGGCACACAAATCTAAATCAGAATGAATGCTGAGTATGTCTTATGCAATTGGAAAGACCAGGTATGGCCAGCAAAAGTTTTATCTAGATCTGAAACTTCGTCAGATGGTAAGAGAAAAAATACATTAGTTCTAGAAGTTCAAATACTCTCACTAGATGAAACAATTAAGGTGGAGAGTACAGAAACAAAGATCCTAAATAAATCTGAAATTGAAGCCATTATCTCCTCCATACAAGTACAGTCAGAGGTCAATGCTCCACCTAGAGAGGAAACACCCTATGAAAGAGCACTAAAGGAGGCACTGGATATCCTGAATAAGAGAACAGATTTGACTCAAGCAAGCATTACAGAAGAAGAGACTACTATACTCCCTGAAAATATACCACAAAATTTGTCTGACTCACCACCTTATAAAAGACATCGGAAGAATGAAGAGGCCTTGTCAAAGTATCCTAAAGAAAATGAAGACCAAATATGCATTGTAATATCTTCTGAGAGTGAGGATTCCAACTCTAATGATAAATTAGAGGTGCAGATAACCAATGATACTATACAAAATGAAGAGGAAACAAAGTCACCGCGTAACTCCAGCTTGTGCCAGGAGACTTTCTCTTTGCTTTCAGAAGATGAGGACGATAAAAAAGAGGACAAGAAAGAGATCTCAACAAGTATTTCTGGAAATTCCACAATCAAAGGGGAGAGTGAAGATGAAAAGTGTGTTCAATTTTTGTCATCAGACAACATCACTGCCCCCAAAGTTTCAAAAGAGGAAGGACAAAACACATGCCTGGATACTCTGCCTGTTTCCTCTGAATATTCTACCTTTTCAGAGACTATTGAAGACCCTGAAGAGGGTCCCTCAAATCCAAATCCATGCTTAGATGCCAACCAGAACCAACCTTGTATGGAGTCAGAGGTGAGTGCTGCGACGTCCGCTCCAAGTTGCTCATGGGAAAGTCCAGCTTCGTTTAGTGCCTCTAACTCTTTCCTCGATTATTCACACCTGGTGAATAATGATAGAAGTCTTCACAACCTGGATATTGAGGAATTTGAGGAAGACATTCAAGCTTCTGATAAGTCATTGCATATTGATCCTGTTAGTTCTTCTGCATTAGATGACAATGAAGAAGATGAAGAACTTCCACGATTTGTTTTTCATTATGAGCCACGTTCATTTGAAACAGGAATGATAGTCTGGTTTAAATATCAAAAGTATCCATTTTGGCCATCAGTGATAAAAAACATCAGACGAAAAGAGAAGAAAGCAAGTGTGCTTTTTGTTGAGGCCAACATGAATCCTGAAAAGAAAGGTGTTAGAGTCCCTTTCCGAAGATTAAAAAAATTTGATTGTAAAGAGAAGCAAGCACTCGTGGATGAAGCTAGGGAGGAGTACAGTGAAAGCATTGACTGGTGCATCTCACTGATTTGTGACTATAGGGTTCGACTAGGTTGTGGTTCCTTTTCAGGTTCTTTTCTTGAGTATTTCGCTGCTGACATCAGTTATCCAATGAGGAAAGCATTCAAACATGATACCTTCAGGAATATGTTTCCAAAACTCCAAAATGAAGATACTGGGGAACAAATGGTTGTGACTTCCCAGTCCAAGAAAATGTCCTTTCAGAAAATTCTCCCTGACCGGATGAAGGCTGCTCGAGACCGAGCCAACAGGAATCTAGTGGACTTCATCGTGAATGCAAAGGGAGCAGAGAGTCATCTTTTGGCCATTTTAAAAGGCACAAAAGGATCTAAATGGCTGAAATCGTTTTTACATGCAAAGAGGTTCACACCCTGCATTGAAACATATTTTGAGGATGAAGATCAGCTAGATGAGGTGGTGAAATATTTACAAGAAATCTACAAACAAATTGACAAAAGGATGCTAACACTGATAAAAGATGACAAAATTAAGTTTATCCTGGAAGTTCTTCTGCCAGAAGCAATCATTTGCTCAATTTCTGCTGTTGATGGATTAGATTATGAGGCAGCTGAAGCAAAGTATCTAAAAGGTCCAGCTCTAGGCTATAGGGAGAGGGAATTATTTGATTCAAAAATCATATTTGAAAAGAGACGGAAAACATTACCAAATTAAGCTCATTAGACATTCCAAGTCAAAACCATAACAGAAAGCTTTCATGAATACTGGTTTTAAAGAATCCGTAACCATTCTATCTAACATATAAATATTTCTGACAATGGGAGATTTTGGATAATGTTTTCACTTGCTTTTAATGATGCCTAGCACAGGCAGATAGCTCTATATTTTTATTTTCTTTTGCTTCTTGAGAGACAATTTTGTTAAAATATTTCAGCAATTTTACTTTATCCTACATTTCTAGAATGAAGAATTCCTAAATGATTTTTAAGGGAGAGTACTATTTTGTTTGATGATATTTTTGTGTCTGTGCTGTAAAGCTGAATAAAGCATGCACATTTATTTTAATACTGAAATTGTACTGGTATTGCATTTTAAGAGAGAATTAGAAAAGAAGTATAAAAGAAACATTGGTTATATTTTTGCTTACTTTTTATAAAATGCTGAAGTTTCTCGTAAGATAGTGGAATTATTTTTCCTGCCATGCCTATTTATTTTTGCAAAAAATTATCTGAGACATAGAACCAAAGGTAGTTAAGCTTTGCTATATATTATAACTAAATGTAATTGCTTTTGCAAGAAAACAATCTAAAGTTCAAAACTAAAGAAAGTGGATTATCTGCATGTAGTCTATATTTATGTGAATAACATCTCAGCATGCAGAGAGCAATTTTGGCAGTCTTGAACAGAATTTTTCATTCTATACTTCCCTGAAATTCCATTGTGGGGAGCATCTATTCTCTAAGGGCTAAACAGTTTCTTAAAACAGACAGGCTTCTTTTGGCTGTCTTCATAACTACTAGTGAGTGTATCTTCTTAATATAGCTGTCTGACCACACATGGAAGGCAGATACAGTCATTGTATTTATAGTCTGTCCACTCTATAGGCCTAGCTTACTTCTAGAGAGCCTGTTTAGTTTGGTATAATCTGTAGAAAATGCAAGCAGTATACTTAGTATTATCTCCATATATGTAGTCATTTGCCTCAAAAGAAGGATGCTTTAGTATCTGGCTTACTTGTAGAATAGTTCCAATTGTTTTCAGTAAGTTAAATGACAATTGATCAGTCATTCCAAACTACCAGAAAGAGTGATGGGCCAGAATCTAGAAATTTGGGGGTCTGTCGCAGGAAAAGCCTCTATTGACTAAATATGATAGTTAGTCCTATGTAGTTAAATATGCACAATTAAAATATAAAAACAATGATTTATTTGTTGTGACTCTAAGATTTTTGTGAGACTATATCTTAGAAAATATATTTTTAAAATGTGATGTGAACAGAAGTGCTAAAGGCTTAACACGGATTTGTCTGCAATTTTACCTGTTAGAGTGAAACAGTTGTCATTCCTGGGCTCTTATTATATGTCTACATGGCACGGTTTTCTTTCAAAATTTGCAAAACTTTGCTATTTCGATGTATAATAAAGCCATTATGCCCTTCACCTTGGATGTTCTCTTCATCTTTCAGACTTTGCTGCTATATAAGTTGTGTTTGTATACATATATGTAGATATATATGTTTTCCTGGCAATTTTCCTTGTGGTTGCTATCATTTTAATGCTTCTTATGTTATCAATCTAAATAAATATTCACTTTCATGGTTCATTTTGTATTATTTTTAAAACAATGCCTTCCAAATTTTATGAGCTGTAGACCCCAACAAAACATTCTCTGTCTGAATCCTGCTTGTGAAAGACCAGTCTCTTAGGGTATGTAGCCTATACCACGGGTGGGAAACCTATGTCCCATGTGTCACAGCAGGCTGTTTGTATCACTGAAAGCTCTGAAAGGTTTGCCATCACTGGATACCAATCCACATGCCTTCCTCAACAGACCATAACCATACAATTTAGGGACTTTATACCCTGATAAAGCGCACTTTATTCATTACACTCTGTCTCTCTGATCTACCTTCAGAAATCTCTGTCTTCTGGCTCTAATTTTATTAAGCCATTCATTCTCTCACAACATCAAGAGTCAGGAGAGCAGGTAGTTTAAAGTTATGCCTTGATGATAGATTGTAGGTTAATGTAGAAAGGAGATGCATGTATTACTCATGGAATTAAAGTGACAGTGTAATTTCTACAATGAATTCAATGTGCCACATCACAGTGATAAATATTAAACTGGTGGACTGATGTCTTGTGTTTGAAAGGCAGAACCCCAGGTTTCCTTTTTTATGAGTTTCTGGGTGTCTGGTTAGGGTAGAAAGTGAACCTGATTGCTCTTGAAATGTCATTTATCTTGTGACATATGTTGGAACGAGGGAGATGTGGCCTCAAACATACATCTGTTCAACTCTGAATCTGTTGCCGAATGCATTTGGGATGAAGAGAATGGATTTGGTTTCCAGCTCAGTGTGGACTCAGATCACTTCCAAACTGAGTGATTGTTAAAGCAGCCACTAAGATTACCCTAATGTGGACCTATAGCATAGGGTTTTGTTGTTGTTGTTGTTTTGTTTTGTTTTGTGAGAGAGGGTCTCACTATGTAGTTGAGACTGACTGCCCAGGCTGGTCTCGAACTCGCAGAGATCCTCCTGCCTCAGCCTCCCGAGTGCAGGAATTACAGGGGTGTGCCACCACGCCCAGCTTAGCATAGGTTTTTATATCTGAGCAGAATGTCCGACCTGTCTTCTACTTTAACAAAGTAGATTAAAGAGATGTTTACATCTTCTAGTTTTAAAAGGTGAGTGCGGAATATTAAGTAAAGGTTCTATTTGTAATATCTAAAGAACTGCATGGAGACTGCATGCACAATTAGTATGTCTATCTATCTATTATTCTATATCATCTTTAGATCTATCAATCTATCTATCATTAAGCTATCCTGACAAGTGAATAGTAGAGCTCTGGAGTAATGATGAGTGTGAAAATATTGAATATCTACAACTCTCTGAATCTGTGCTCTGGCATTAGCAGCCTCCCAAACCTGTGGTAGTTGAGGTCACTCTCCCTACTCATGGAAACACAAGAATACTTTTATCTAAGGCAGCTACCTCAAAAGTTGTTGTTTGTCTCACTCCATATCCAGCACTGACATTTTTCACCATCTCCAACATATAACAAGAATAAGGTATGATGATAGCAAAAATGGCAAGATGCAGAATTTAAATGGGTGGAAGATACATTCAGAAGGAATGAATGGAATGGACTAATATCACCAGCATAAACTAGAGTAATATATTTTGGAATACATTTTGCATTTTGACAATGTCAGACTTACAAAGTAGGACAAATAAATAGGTAAATATAAGAAAAAGCTTAACATTATTGAAGCACATACCTGTGACTTGGGTTTCGGTGACCAGGTAATGTGCTGCTACAGAGAGAATTTCTCTCCTTTCACAATGTTCCTCTTTCTCTCACTCTCTCTGGCTTTCTTTTTTTGAAGTACTGCAAATTAAATGTAGGACTCAGGACCTTGAAAATGCATAATAGGTAAACACTCCACCCCTAAGCTACATCCCCAGCCTTTTTTATTATTTTGACACAAAAATCTCACTAAGTTGCTTAGGCTGGCCTCAAACCTGTGATCTTCCTGCCTCAGCCTCCTGTGTAACTCAGATTATATGCCTAGTGCATCTTTAAACTTGGACAACATCAGTTGAGTGGAGCTTCCTTATCAAAATATTGTGGAGTTGATGAGAAAGTCAGAGGAGTTTGTTGAGTTTTAAATGATTTGTCGTAGGAGACAAAAGATCCTATCTGTGAACTGTTTTCCCTTGGAGGAAGACAGTACACTGCTAACAAATTTTTGATGAAGAAAACAATGACATGTATAAGGAGATCAATGTTGGTGTCCTCTTAAAACTATGGTTGGAAAAAAATTATGTTGCAATACAGATAAGATTCCAGAATGTTAGAGCACAGGTAGCAGCACAAAAAGCTCAGGAGCAAAGGAAGTGCAATGTCAAGAAAAAAAGGTGAGTGGAGTTAGGTAAATTTGATTGATAGAAAACTGGTAATGACTCAAAAATAGTAGCACTACAGTGCTAGATGTATGGACAACTGACTCATGTATTATACATATCATACATTTTATTTGAAAGTGTGAATTGGGTAGCCTAAGCCTCTTGTTAGCAGCTGCAGTGCAAAATTACGGTGCCCCTCCAAATGTTGAAGATTCTCAGTTGCTCTGCTACTGAAGCTGTATGATTCACCATATCTTCACTAGCTTCTCCATGGTTGGGACACATTACCTGGCACCAACAACTTAAAGGAAGAGGGGTTTATTTGGTTCATAATTCCAGAGCATTCATCCGTGTTTGGCTGCCACCAAGTGAGAAACATCATGCGAGAAATCTGTAATGTAACAATGTTGCTTAATTCATAGCAACCAGGGAGCAGAGTAGAGGAACAGTGCCAGAGAGAATGGCTAAGGGATTAAAATATAGACACAATGGTCAGGCCTCTGAAACCTGCCCAGACACATCCAGAATTGTGCCTTACTAATTCTCTGGGCAACTTCCAAGCCACTAAAATTGACAATTTGGCTTAAATATCAGTACCACTCCTTGTCAACCTGATGTTCACACATATCCCTGAACTACACTTAATTTTCCAAGTAAACACAAAGCCATAATGCTGCCTAACATGATATAGCTATCCCATGTACAACTAAATTCAATCCCTTCCCCCAAAGTCTCAACAATCCCAGGCTCCATATTAGGCATCAGGAATGTATGGGAGGCAAAATGTGAGTTCCATCGGATTTGGGAAGCCCCACCACCGCAGTTCTGCTGGTTGTAGCCCACAGAGCTTCTGTCTTGCAATGACTTTGCTCATTGCCTGCAACTTTCCTTGGGAGACATTCTGCTTTCCTGACATCTGCAACCTCCTGGGATCACCACTACACCTTCAGTTTAATTCCCACATCTTCATTCATCCCTTTTTTAGGGGCATGTTTTCTGGCCTCCAAGACATTCCTTTGAAATCTAGATGGAAGGCTCCATGACACTGCAACTTTTGCATTCTGCAGTCCTGAAAAACCAGCATCAGGAGGGTGATGCCAATGTCTGCCAGCAGCATGCAGAGTTGCCAAGGTCCCTTAGATGACAGCCTGTACTGGCCTCTGAGAGCTTCTAATCCTGAGCATGGTGAAATGATTTCTAAGAAGCTAAATGTCTAGGCTTGGCTTCTCAAGTAAAGGGCTGAAGGGCTCTCTTTCCAAATTAAAGCTTTATACTTTAGCACTCTGAAGCCCATAATGGATTTGTGAGATACTCTAGGCATCTTACTTTTAGGCTCCTTAATAAGTACTTGCTTTTGTTTTTAGTGATATTAAACTCTTTAGCAACCAAAACTCCTTTGCCCCAGCTTTACATATAAAATTTAAGTTTTCAAGATTTTCTACTCTGCTTTTTGCCCTCAATTCTCAATAAAGATCTGGCTAAAAGTAACCAGCAGTAGCCATACCACAGCTAGCATATTAGGCTCCCTTGAAATTTTGCCCAAGACCTTAATAAGTCTGACACTTTATGATTCAGCCTCACACAAAGTCTCAGGAAATGGGCAAACTATAGACATCCCCCCACCACAGTATAACACACTTTGCCTCTAATTGAAATCCCAATAAAGTATTTGTTCCCAACTGAGACTCCCTGAGCCTGGCCTTTAGTGTCTGCATTTCTATCAGCATTCTGAGGCCTTCTGAGCTTGATCTAGAATTTACCATCAAACTCTGTTACATCATTCGAGGGTTTCTCTAGGCTTCATCTTCAACGTTTTCAATCTCATTCTGCAAACCTTTTCCAAAGGTTTATGAACCACATAGTGAGGTATACATACTCACAGTAATGACCACATTCCCGGTTTAAAAAATTTTCTGTATAGATCAACATTTCCATCACTAGGACATAATCTCTGACCCCTACAATTTAAAGGAGGAGTAAAAGGTTCAGGGGAAGCGGGGAAGGGTAGGGGAAAGGAAATGAGGGAAAAGAAAAAATATGAGAAAAGGAAAAAATGGAAACAAGGTCCTTGTAAATAGGGAAGGGTGGAGGGGGTGAATGGAAAGCAAGGGTATGGGGAAAAATGAGAACTATGGTTTGTCATGTAAAGGTACAAGATCCCAATGATGAAAGTGACTATTACTGAATGCCTAAAAAGTACCAATAAATTCAATGAAATTAAAAGGAGGAATAAGTTTTCTATGCCTTAGAGTTTCAGGGAATTCAGTTCGTGGTTAATAAAACCAAGCTTTTTAGTTGACGGCAGCTAAGAAACAGAGCAGGAAACTAGTAACAGAGAGAAAGAGGCTAGAGAACAGATACAGACCTCAAGATTATGCCTCTATGACTCTCCTAGGTGCGTGCAGATTTGCACTTTATTAATCCTTTGGGAAGCTTCAAAAATAATAAAGTTGAAGATCCAGCAGAATTGTTAGTGTCTGATAGTACTCAGATCCCTTCCAGCACCATCTATGGTGGATAAGCATATAGTATCTAATCACTTCCACGCCATTATATGTGCATTACAATGCAGATTTTTTATGTTCTGAAGAAAAATTATCTTCTGTAAACTACATGCCA